CCGCCAGTCCAGATTCTGATGGAAATCGTCAGCCGCAAATCCAGATTTCCACGAGAAACGCGAAACGCATCCGACATTCCCTTGCGCAAAACTCGATGAGAAATCGCGGAATTTACGCGCCCACCACCAGCACCGCCGCCGCCGCCGCCATCACCACCACTACCCGCGCTTACATTAAATTAAAAGCTTAATTAACTGCGCGCTGCAAGTGGCAATCGATGGCCGACGAAATTTCGTAATAAGCCGTTACCTCATTAACCAACGCGCCAGATCGGAAACAATGTCAGAAGTCAACGGCACGTAATAATGACGAAAAGACCAAAGTTTTTCCGAGACGGAATGTTCATACGTAGAAAGAAGGAATTAACTGTACATGTAATATAACTGAAATTTAGTTATCACATCTAGTTTTTAGCCGTGAGAGCTAAAAACTGGATACAGAGACAAGAGAATCAGTTTAACTAAATTTCAGTTGTATTATACTTTGAGTATCTAATTTTTACCCGTTCGAGCTGGTTTTTAGCAGTGGAAGCTAATTATTTTCTTCCGTGTACGGATGCTCGAAAAAGAGGAAAATCGATAGAAAATGCATAAATTAGTATCTATTTATATCACATTACCGTGTATTTTTAACTCAATTTATATAAGTTCCACGTCGATCAAATTTAAATAAAATGTATATCAGTTAACTGCAATGTTTCCCGAAATTCCGAAAAATTAATATCCACGTGTGCGTTTGAATTTCTATATTTACCAATTTTCCGCAAAGCCTGACCTTTCGATCCGCTAATTTGCGCGACGTAAAAAATTTCACAGCGGACGTCTGAACGTCCGAGAGTGTTGCGAAATTGTTGAGATTGCGTTTGTAAACTGTGATATTTGCGCGTTCCAGTGCGTAATTAAATTTACGCGATTAAACATGCTAAAACGTTATCAAGCTCAGTGTATTGTGATCGAAAGTGGCAGCAACGTGTTGCAACGATACCGTAATCGTCACGCGCAATTTCAGTCAAAATAACCGCGATATCGGCGCCCACGCTGTCATTGTCGTTCGCGCGCGCGCGAACGAGTATCCGTTGCAAAAGTTCAACAAGCGTCCAGTAGACTCGACGACTCGCGACAAGCGATGCCGTGACCCGCCGTTGACTGACGTCAACTGTCTGTCGACATCCCGCTTGTTTTCCGAGAAATGACAACGATCGATTTTACGTCCTTACTCGCTGTCGTCACACGCGATATTCCGAAAACAAGTCCATTCAGATTCGCCTGCGTTTTATTTCACGTTTATCGAGAGCCCCTGGGTATAAGTGTGAAATAAAAGGGAAAGATAAGCGTTATCGAGACGAGTGATTGCAGCAACGACCACCAGCCAAGTGACCATGCAGCAATATATACGGCAAGCGCCTCAAAAGCTTTTCCATCGTGTCACGTTTTAACGACGGATTCCTCCGCCAAATTGACTTTTTCCTCGCGACACACACGAAAATATTCACCTGTAACTTTTAATTAATTTGCGCGATCTCTGAAAAATTAGTGGCGTGCATTTCAAAGTATTTTAAATAGATTTTGGTTGAACTGTGTTTTACTCGAAACACCCCATACAATAAAATGCCTGTCTGTATCAGAGATATAATCAGATATCTTTGTGCCTGCAATTTTGAGTTGTATCTTATCTGCAGATATTTTACAGAATATCTGCAGGATATTATTACTCGATATCATATTTTTTCTTCGGAAAAAATATCTCTATATTTGCATACGACTGTAGCCGGTATTGAAATCTTACAGACATCTTTCAGATATTTCCGTGATATCTGGATAATCAGATATTTAAATATTCAGATATTTTCTAGATATCTCTATGATATCTTTTTTGTGGGGCGCAGTTTCTTTGAGCAATTCTGAACAGAAATTGGTATTTTTTAGCAAAAGTACCTATGAAAAACATGTATCATATATTTTTGTAAATATAACTTAGCCCCCCGAATGGGAGAGGAAGGAGGGGGGAGAAAAGAAAAATATATATATTATTGAAATATAAGATTTATATTTAAAGTTGCGACTCTCACTATAAATAGATAATACATAGTACAAAATTTTGTGATATAAACGGTCCACTGTAATTTTTGTCTTACTTTAACAAAGTGAATATGTTAATTTAATATATATTTGTGTAGTGTTTATTTTATTCCGCATGTTAAAGTAACACAAAAACTTCCGTGAACCGTTTTTAACACAACATTTTTTATTGTGTACAATTTTGCTACTTATCTCAATAGTTCCGAAGCTTAGTTCATTAAAAGCTCTTTTCTAATTAAGATCGGAAAGTATTCGACGGGAAAGTTTACAAAACCTAATCGATATGAAAACAGGCGGAAGAACCATCCGTCGTTAAAATATAATGTAGTTTATAAATGGGACACCCTATGTAAATAAAAACAAGACGCTGGAAAGAGAGCCGAACTTAAAAGACTCGTTTACGCAAATCCCGCCTGCCTTAGCTATCGTTATCGACAGCGATAACGATGTATAGCAATTATAGTAACCGTTTTATCGTTGCTGGGAGCGCGCCGATTCTTCGGCCGATAAATTATGTATGAGTGCCTGTCGCGAAGCTACCAGACACTGTTAGACGAAGGGTAAAGGACAAAGGGCGAGTGCTGGCGCACGGGACGGGAATACATATTTATATTCATCCAACGGGCGTATATTTTTTGCATAATATAGCCCGCTCGCCGATCTCGCGTCCACGTTGCGTCGTCTGAAACATTGTGAGTAATCGAGAACGATTCTACTCGCGACAAAAAGGAAGTAACGCCGTTTTATGGATGAAAAAAGTACAAGGCACTGTGAGAAGGGAAAGCTAAACGCGAAAATCATAAAGGCTCGGCTTGCAGGAGATAATGCCACTAAAGGGGCGCATAATTATCATAGTTGCGCAGTTGCACGAGCGTCGAATTGTTAAAATGTTGAATACCGAGGAATTCTGGCGGGCTCAAAACCAGCCGGTGAATTTAGGAAATTCAAGCAGCACGAACAAACGAAAAGAACTCGCTAGAATTAATCACCACCGACTAAAATAGCTGAGCTACGTGACATAGTTGTATCTTTCTCCCTCTCTCCCCCCTCTCTCTCTCTCTATGCGCCTCTCTCTTCGAGGTAGACTATAAAACTGAATATGTGCGCGAGCGTATATTTTATAATTTACGTTATACCTTTGTGATGTGGCGTTATATTCTACGCTTTAAAAACTCCGTTTGTCGATTACAACACTGACATCGGTTGTCATTTCGTTTTAATTCCAAAATGGAATAACGTCGCCACGTGTCGATGACGGGACGAATTAATGAATTGATAGAAAACAGGAAATATCTAAGCATACGTCCTATTTATTTGCATGTATACAACTATCAAAGGGAGTAAGCATCCGAAGAATTCTCGATAAAACGCTTCATTCTAAATATATTCGACGCATCTCTTTCCATGTCATTGAAGATACCGGAAATGTTTTCGATAGTAACGTTAGGTATTTCGGCTAGCCGTACTACAATCGATTTTCCAGCGAACCGAAATTTTGACAGCAAGATTCAGCAACAAACGTACATACCGGCACTCTCTGGGCGCAACTATTTGATCAATGGTCGCATGTCGTGGAAGCTGTTAGAGCCTGGCTTATAATATCGCGGAAAGTATGCGTCCTATGCGCCATCCCTGCGGCCGACTAAATATTCGACCGTCACCATAGGGATCCGCGAAAATTTTCCGGCATCCCGTGCTTAGCGAAGTGCTCGGTACATGATAATAACTGCTAGACCGCTATTTCGAAACTATTTTTGGCGACCCCGCATCGTTGCGAAATTATGATAGGATACAGAGAGTTTCTCTACTGAAAGAAGAGCTTGCGAATCGAGAGATATAATTAATTCATTCGAGTCTGACCCAAATGGCAGAATATAACAAGCAAAATTGATCTGTGAGAAGTGCGAAAATTCTCTCTCTCTCTCTCTCTCTCTCTCTCTCTCTCTCTCTCTCTCTTTTACTCTCTTCTACTTAAATAAATATAATAAAATTTTTCTTCACAAATTAAAACACGCACAACAAAACACGTAATCCGTAAAGCGCAACGGACGAAATTTATATCGATGCATTTCTGTATTTGTTTTCCACACAAAAAAAATTAATATCGTATAGAGTATTATTATTAGTATTGTACTTTCGTAATTAAAATATTCTCGTATCTGTGAAAATAACAGAGATACTTCAGGTGAACAAAATTATTGCCCCACCTGTACATATTATAATATAATTTTATAATTTATATAATTTTTTTTTCCGAAATTTTTAAATGAAGTTTGAATGTCAGAACAATCAATTTAAGCGGAATAATTTGTCTTCTTTGAAGGACCAATGTTCGCGCACCGTGCAACATGCGTCCATCAAATCTTGTAATATGCAAAAGCGTATGTAACCGAACAGAAACGTTGTTTAATATTTATTAGGTGGGTTGGACGTGACAATACGATGAACCGGACTAATAATAAGGCTTCGGTATCAATATGTTCAGTCATATTTTATGTCTTTAAATATCTAATATAATATTACTATGTCGTCCGACGAACTTGGCACATTTCTTTTCTAAAACTTGAAAATCTTACGCGAAAATGTTCCGGTTAAATTTGCTCATGTGAAAATTTCACATTGATTCGTGGAATAAATTAATTTTCTAATAACCAATGGGTAATTTGTGAACAAAAAATCACACCGTGTGATATCTTTTAGTCTCATGAGTTTCAAATTGTTCGTTAGAAATTTACAGTAGCGATCAAATTGTGTTATAACGCAATGTTAATATCAAAAATCTTTAATAAAGGTGTAAAGAGGGTATGCACGTTGAAAGAAACATATAAAATCGGAATTCCGTAATATCAATAATTACATTCCTCGCGCCGAATCGCGCACCGATGGATTCGTGGCGCTATCTCTAGATTACCGTCGAAATCATCCTGTCGGAAACACACTCCTGTACGTCACGAGCAGTCCCGATCTGTTCGTGATTATGTGCGTTTGTTGTTTCGTGAGGTATTTGTTGCTCTTTGTTCGGCCTCCGAGACACAGTCGCTAATTTTTCTACGCGATTTCCTCTCACGTGCGAGAAACCGGAGAAACTGGTTCGACAAGTGCTCCGGTCACTTGCCTTTCACTCTTGGTAATCCGGTTTCACGAGAGGTTATCGATCTCGCAACACGGTCGGTTACACATCGGACCCCCTGCGGATCGTATCGTTCCTGCGACAACTCGGTTTGTACAACATACGCGCGATATCTTCACGGGAGGACGTAAATAGCAGAAATTGCACAAGCCTCCTACAGTCGGAATTGCTTACTTGCGCTTCTCATATCTCTCGCGCGACCGCGTTATGCGGTAGCACGTGCTTCAGTGAGTGGAATCCCTCGGAGCAGCAGCAACGATAGTAACGAAACATGTTCTCCTGCAGAAGCCTCCTCGTCGCCGTGACGAAACCGTCGCAAAGGTTCGCGAGAAAACTGCATCTGTCAAAATGCAGGTGAATATGTAGCAATTTATTCTTTTCCCTTCTCCGGGAGAAAATCTTGACATTTTTACACCGTATGTTTCTTTGAAAATATTCTGAGCAAGATCAAAGTTAAAGATAATGTTCCAGGGTGTAAAAAATGTATATTCGTTATTAGGGTCGATATTGAAATAGCCCACTGGCATATGATAATATGTAAATATTGAAGTTTGATTTATGGTTAATCGTATCTTTCAATTCGTCAGATGGACATTTCGTGGTCCTAACACAAGTAGGATGGACAATGTAGCAATATGGTGACATTAATTATCTGTTCTAAACATTTGTGTTATTTCAAGAAGCTTATTATTACAATTACTATTATTATTTATAATATCATAATTCCAATTCTGATAGATCAAAGATCTGTTGATTGTATCGAGCCGATAGAAATTCCAGGCATAATTTGTTGCGTCATTTGCAGGCAAGAAGCAAGGATAGTAGATGGACGGAAAATAGCAGAAGAGATTCAGGAGGAATTAAAGTTGGTCATTGACACTTACACAAATGCAGGAAAGAGAAGGCCAAAGCTGGTGGCAATATTAGTGGGAAATCATCCATCTAGCAAAGCTTACATTGGTAAAAAAATGAGAGCAGCGAAGTCTGTAGGTAAATGTCATTTTTATTTATAATAGACTACTCATAGGTAGTCATTTTTCCACTGATGGATTCGCAAATCAGTATTAATAAACCTTGTCCATTAATAAACAGGAATCGAGAGTTACACCATCCACTTGGGAGAAAATATCGCGCAAACAGATCTTCTCAAAGAGATTGATAGTCTGAATAGAGATCCAACCGTCGACGGGATTCTGGTGCAGTTACCATTGCCAAGAAACATGAGTGAGAAAGAAGTGTGTCAAGCGATAATTCCCAAGAAAGACGTGGACGGTTTTCATCTGGAGAATATCGGTAATCTAACACTGGACAACAGAAGCATCGTGCCAGCCACTGCCCTGGCAGTCAGAGAATTAGTGATTAGGAGTGGAATCGAGACGTTTGGAAAAAACGCCGTAGTCGTGGGCAGATCGAAACACGTCGGGCTGCCTATCGCGCTGTTACTTCATTCGGATGGCAAAGGTGATTGACTTATTAATTCGATGGCGAGTTTACGACACAACAGTCAGTTTAGAGCCATATCAGTAATCATAAAATATTACTTTGTGATAACTTCCCGTTGATCTGCTCAGTTCGCTTTGTTACGCGTTTCTTTTGCTTCTTTAAAATCGCGTCGAATAGCTTGAATAACGATGTGTGCGATACTGATAACTGTCGAAAATTTTCATCACGACGTTTTATCATTCTTAGGCGAGACAGGCGCCTTAGACATGACTACGACTATCTGCCATCGTCACACTCCCCACACCGAACTGGAAAAGTTGACGAAACTAGCGGACCTGGTGGTAGTGGCGGCCGGGGTTCCCGGTCTAATCTCCAAGGAGATGATAAAGCCAGGTGCGTGTGTAATCGATGTCGGTATCACTAGGATGAAAACGGCGGACGGCAAGTATCGACTGGTAGGGGACGTGGATTACGACAGCGTAAAAGAGATTGCCGGACACATCACGCCGGTCCCCGGCGGAGTAGGTCCCATGACGGTTGCGATGTTGATGAGGAACACGGTAGCTGCTGCCATGGGAAACCAAGAGGACCAAACCAAACAGTCCGTCCATTTGGAGAGTAGCGAAGCTTTCGTATAACGTCACGCCTAATATGTAATTGTGTTTAGGAGAATTTCCAATTTCTCGAATCGATAAATATGTTTTCCCCGTATCGCACGTGTAGCGCACACGAAGTATTATTCATGCAAAAAGAAGTTCGAATTGTTATTTCGTAATTTATGCTCGACATTAATTTTATTAAATCTGTAAAAGTATCTATGCCGCAGGAAGGATATATTAAGAGAGTACATACGTCTCATCGATGTCATATAAATTGATGAAATAAGATGCCGAGAATTATTTATAATAAAATTATATAATATAGATAATGTGTATAAGAAATTCATTCCGATGAAACTTTTGTATATTAGTGTAAAAATGTAAATGGCTCTTGTTTCTAGTTTCATTTTGATTTGTTTTGTTCTCGTTTTGATTTGAAAGGATATTTATCTGTTCCGCATGCGACATCTTTATGGAATATTATATATTGATATTACTTTCAATGCAATGTGTATTAGAGATCGCAGAATGTATAGAACCGAATAAAGTTGATTTTGTTTGTAGAACACAACTGGGTTCGCAGAGTGTTGGAATTGAAACACGTATTATGTGAGTTAGCGATTTCGTTTTTATCATAGACAGAACGCGTCATCGTAACGTTGTCTTCTGCGGACTGACGTACTCCGAACGTATTTGACGCTTCTCCAGAAATAATTGCGAATATAAATAAGTTGCGCTCGGCGAATGTATCATCGCGCTGGCGTTCTAAACGTCGGTCGGGCCTTCGAGGCATTTCGTAATATTCGATTTGATTTTATCGCCGTCCTCGTGAATCTTCTTGGTAAGGTTTGTTAGACATTTGACGGTGCGTTCAACAGTTCTCATGGACTGCGTCACCATAGTTATCTTGACGTTATCAACGCTCTCCATAAAATGCCACGCGGAGCGAAAGACTGTGTTTAGCTCATCAACTACACAGATATTTTCCTCAGAGGTAGTGTGGTTGTTGGCACATCTGTCGAAGATATCGTCCGTGGCAAGACTATTGATAATTTTATTTCCCTCCTAAAAAGAGATTAATGCGATTAGATATTTGAAGTTTCCACGCTAGTTATTCGGCTGCGCGAGTAAATCCAGCGCTAATCGGACAACGTTTATATAAAAACGTACAGAAGTTACGCCTTCGTAGAAGAGATCTCTGTCTCTGAAGAATGCCGCATCAAACGTACAATCAATTATACCGTTTTTTATATTCTTCTCAGCATCCTTAACTATTTCATGGATATCATCGAGGCATAAGGTCGTATTCTTGCCTTCCGACATAGATTTGATCATTTGAATCTAAGAGAAAAGGAAGACGAATAAAGCATGAATAGAGCGATAGTACAATGAATAAGTGCCGCATCACGCGTTTGACGCAATTGCACTCTTTGCAATGATGAGTCCTCTATGTATCATCCCATTTAGATTACAGATAGATTCGGATCATCACTTACCTTTATCATTTTTCTTATAAAGTGCAGGTAGTCTAGCCAAGTTTTTCCTTGTTCGAAAAACAGATCGTTGACTTGACGAAGCGCCTCGGCTTTTAATTTATTATTGACATATTCGACTTTTAATGCGGTTTGTGTGATTCCTAGTTGTATGTTTTTTAAGTCGTACCTCAGTTCGTTGTTTAACATGTTTGGATGTATATAAGATGCGTTGACCTAGGATGGAACGATAAATGTTACGTCGAGCGTTTGCGTTACTTCGAGTAAGCGTATATTCTTACTTCCTGCTAATATCGTACGTTATTAAAGCGCTGTAAAGCATATTTCTGCGCTTTGGTTTACTTTATTGACATATCGCACTGAACGGAGCATACGGCAAGGTTTTTTCCCAATAAACACTAACAAAAACGTAACATCAATATTATAATTTCTCACTCAACAATGTAACTGTTACATAACACACGCGTTATATTGCATTTACTCGAAAGTAAAATTTCAATTAAATTTTTACAAGAAGACAAACCGTCTCCATTTTCAAACATAATATTACTTTTTTAGAAAAGAAAAAGACTTACGGCATAAAGTGCAGACAGAATGTACAACGCTACGACGATTCTCATGTTTGTTTGCTCTTTTAGTGTCACCTGGATGTAACTTGTTGAATATGAAAAATCGACTAATAAACAGTCGTTATGAAACATCTCCTTATATACACTCCAAGTAATTAATTCTTACTTTAAACTAATGACTTTAAGCTAAATGATCTCAGATAAAAGAGAGGATATTAGATGATGTGTAACTTGACAACATGTACCTGCATCTTGACCTCACAGTCAGGGGACGTCATATTGACGTTAGAAAGTCAGAGGAAGTCATATTGCTGGATATATTAATAGATAGTCTCAATGTAAAAAAAATGGTCTAAAGTTTTGATTATCAATATTTTTAACGGGGTCAAGTAAATATCAAAAGTTTATGCAATTTGACGTCATTTTGGCGAACTAGAATTTGATTATATTTTGACATCACATTGGCTTTTCCGCTCTCTTTGAGTTACACGAGGTGAGGTGACAAGGATATCGTCATAGTCGTTGGACTCAGCCGTGGTATCTACCGTCCGATTATCAAGGACATCGGATACATATTAGGATAGACCATTTGGCCGCCGTTCGAGACCAAATCCACGCAGGGATACGAAAAAAACATACGAAGCGTGAAACAGTTTTCGTAATTACAGATAGGCAGTCAGTTGCAATGCAACATTGCTATAATATTTTATTACAGTGTTTCTGAGAGTGGACATTTTAACGTTGTTACAATTTTGCGGCAAGGTTGCAATAACATTTCGCATCATATATAGAATATTACAATGTTTCAGTGTAATCTCATATAATATTCCTGCAATCTTCCTGTGCTATATGGGTTATCTGTTCCGCATACGACGTCTCTTTGGAATATTACCCAATAATACTACGTTCAACGCAATGTTAGATATCGCGGAAGGTATAGTGCTGAATAAAACTGTTTGATTTGTGAAACACAATGGGGTCGTAGGGTATTGAAATTGAAACACGCATTATGTCAGTCAGCTATTTCGTTTCCTTTATGGGCGAAACGCGTCATTGTGATGTTGTCTTCTTCGGACTGGCAGTGTCTCGGAACGCTTACTTACTTGACGCTTACTTACTTGACGCTTCTCCAAAAATAGTTGAGCGAGTAAAAATAAGTCGCGATTGGCGAATGTATCATTACGCTGGCGTACTAATCGTAAATCACGCTAGAGAGGCATTTCGATCTGATTTCCTCGGCGATCTTGTAAGCCCGATCGGTAACATCGGTCATACGATTCAAGGAGTGTTGATAAATTTCTTCGGTTCTTTTCTTCGCCTCTTTTTTGGCATCATTAACGGTATTAGTAAATTCCCAGAAGAGGCGTAACTCTTCAGATATACATTCGTGCTGAGCGAGAAGATCGTTGTTAACACTACATTTCTCGAAGACAGGGTCCATGTTGTTAAGATTACATAAAATTTCATGTCCTTGCTGTAAAGAGATTAATACGATTAGATATTTGAGGATTCCACGCTAATTATTCGGCGCGAATAAATCCCATGTTGGTGAATCGTGCGGACATGTTATAACAACAGTTATGTAAAAACATACGATATGTAGATCGATGAAGGGGTCATTTTCCAGGTGATGTAATACGTCTAAAACACATTGATGCAAGTCCTCTATCGTATTATGCTCGATATCAAATAATATCGTTAAATAATCCTGCAAGCACTGTTTCTTTTCCTCCGACTGCAGTTCGTCCACAGTCTAAGAGAAAAGGGAGGCAAATAAAAGATGAATAAAGTAAGGATACAACGAATAAGTGCCGCATCACGCATTTTAAAATTGCAATCCTTACAATTACGGATCCTTTACGTGTCATGCACTTCGGTTACAGATAGATGGATGGATTCGAATGATTACTTACGTTTATTATATTTCTCATCTGGATTATGTGATGTAAATACTTCGATTGTGCAATAAACTTTTCGAGGATTTTGTTATATACCTCGGATTTATTCATATCGAAATGTTTGAGCTCTCTTATACTTCTTTCCACTTGTTCTTGCACGGTTTTTATTTCAGTTGACCGCATGTCCTTTAAGATTAATGTTCTGACTGATAATGCGTTGATCTAGAATAGAATGGTAAATGTTACGTGTCAACAAGCGTTTGTGTTACTTCTAGCATATACATACACCCAATTCTTGCCCATATCATCCCACACAGCAGAACTGCCCAAAATATATTATAGGTATATCTTAAAAATATTGCGATATTTTTAGGATTTATCTATGTATTTTGAATATTTCTGCTGTGTGAATATTTCTGTTTCTGTGTACGCATTTCTGGTTTGATTTACTTCATTGTCACATAGTACTAGAATTGATGCGGCAAAATTTCTTTGACCTTTCGTATTGACGGATAGAACGAAAGAAGTAGAGGTTTGGACATGTATCTCTCTTTCTATTATCTCTCCATTGATTGAATTTTGTTTAACGAGAAAGGGAGCAACACTATATTTTTAAGGTTGCGTTTATATCTAGGTCCATATTTTGAGCTCACTTTTATCGTTAAAAATGAGATTAGAACATGGAGCCTAGCGAAGAAACAAGGGCGAAAAGTGTGATGTATTCACGTCTAAACGTGCACAAACTTTCTTTAAAACCATCTAACAAACCACTTCACCGACCTGCAGCAAACCGGCCTGAAACGTTCTGTTCGGATTTGTTGAGACATACGAATTTTCCAAAATGTAACAATGAAAGCAATTTTGCATTCATTGTTCGTTTCGCTAAGTACGCTAAGTATACGCACTTTTACTTAGGAACATCCTTTATGTGTTGCAATCTATAAGTGTGTAACGCATATGTAAACGTCGTCATAAAATTGAAATTATATTGCATATTTAATAAATAATTACTAAATATGTTTTCTACTTTATTTATTTATGTAAAATGTTTATTATGCGAAAAAGTGTTCAAAATTAATAAGTGTCACATGGTTCTGATTTACATGAGTCGATACTACTCACGTATCGTGTCTGTGTTCGTATATTCGCTCTGCCGGCAACAGTAACAATCTATAATATATAATATACATGAACTGTAGATTTTCAGTATTAGCAGTGAATATACAAACAATATATACGCCTCTTCTTGTCTTTTTCTACATCTGTCATCACGGTTTCGATCGTATGATCCGTTCAGTTCCGATTCCGTACTATATGTCAATCGCCCATGTTTCTATTCCTATTACTTGGTTATCTTTTTCATAATAACTGATTTTCACATATAAATGCTAATTTGTATTAAATCTTAACTCTAAAGTGAACTCTCAGTGAAATATTTACAAAGGCAAACTTTCTTTTTCTCAAACGTGATATTATTTCTTAGAAAAGAAAGACTTACAGCACAAAGTGCAGACAGAAGGCACAACGCTACGGCGATTCTCATGCTTGGCTCTTGCTCTTCTAGTCTTGTTGATAATAAAAATTTGACTAAGGATATCGTTATGAAACATCCTCTTATATACTGTGCAGGGCATTAATTCTTATATTAAGCTAAATGATTTCGAATAAAAGAGTAGATATCAAATAACATGAACTTAACGACCTGTATATCTGCATCGTGACCTTGAATGAATTCTTCGCTGCTTCTCAATTCGAAAAGATAATACGCCAAGTTCGCTAACAGCACTAGAAATATCAGTGTCATTTTCTCTTGTTCTCTTGTTCTCTTCTCCCGAAAACAACCGTATCTACCCTTTACTTCACGATATATTCTACATTTTTGTCTATTAATGTATACCACTGCGCCGTTTCCTCGTAAGCCGCAACTCACACATCGTGTAATCTATGAATCCTCGTTGCAAATTTTAATATATCGTGATTTACGTTATATATACAGGATATTCTAGAACGATAATGGGGGGCGAGGTTATATTAATTTTTTAATTATACGCGGTTCAAGTTGACTGATTGTACGGTTGACATTTTCCGCGCTCAGATATAGCAATCAAAATGATTGTAGCCTCATCATTTCCGCATTGAACTTTTATCTCAGAATATCCCAAAGAATCTGTCATGTTAAAAACACATGGTGGTTCTGGAACATTCTGTAAAATCTTACGCCATAATCCCTTCGTTCCGTCCGTAAAACCAGAAAGAAACATTGCGGAGAAATATTCGATGGATATCATCGATGGATATAGAAAAGTAAAATGTTCGATGGACTGGATTATATATCCGATATACAGAGATATACGATATTGCATATAATTCACAACAGACTTTATTTGATTATATCGTATGTCTTAACATACCAGGAAATACATGAAGCATGTAAAAAATGTGATCGCCGCCATCGCGAAGGTGCATATCATGATGGCTCGTACATTGAATAAAATTAGAACGGAGGATCATTGAGACGCGCGATGTTGTGCGAAGTATGAAACATAAATAATAAGTTACAAAGTTACAATATATAAACCTCGGAACGAAATATACACCGCGCATTCGTACTAATAAACTTAATCGCCTATTTGCTAGGATCACAGTTACATTTATAATATTTGTAGGTCATTATACGCCGTTTTCGGCATCTTATAGTCGAGAATATGCTGCCAGGTGTTGCCGTTATGCCCGTAATCGCATACTCAAATCATTCAATCTGATATTTCAAAACGACAACGCGATTTATGTTCCGAGAAGCAACCTCGTTTCTGCGACGGATACACCGTAGCGTCCTTCGTATGTGGATACTAGAATACTTGGCGCGCGAGACGCTACCGTGTTTCCTGACTGAAATCAAAATGGTGATGATAATAATGATAATAAAATAATAACGTCGTCCGAGAGCCTATTATGACTAGGTGATATTTCTATGTTCTCGATGGCGTTATCTAGCGGTAATACTACTGTCGCGTTCCGATAGAGACGGAGTGGTGTCGATTATACTTCGATTAAAAGTAACTTTACAAGCGCGTGATGATGCATTTATAATGTTATGGCTTAAAAACAATTTTAATACACTGTACATCACTGTTACGTCACCCCGATTAGATAATTTGAACTTCTCGAAGCTCGCCTTCGTGGCCACCCCTCGCATCGAATGTGAGTGAGATTCTAGCCGCGGCTAAGTGGGACCGCAGTTGCATTTGCGATCGTTAAGTGTCGTAAAAGGGGCTAAGTCGAAAGGCTATGTACGCATGCCCGCGGTACCAAGCCTCTCCGGTCACCTTTTGCGCACAGCAACCATTTGTTGTCCACTTCTAGTATTACTTTCAGTTTCTCGCCTTCCGCGAATGAAAGATGACCGGTGTCTGACGGTATCCTGTGAGTGAGGGTACGAACTTCTCTGCAATCGAGACGCGTGAACCGTTATCGTACTGATCTAAAGAAAGGGAAAAAGAAAGGAAATCGCTAAAGTACGAAGCAAATGAGTAAACAAATGTAAATAAGAAGATATAGAAGTACAGTATAAACGAAATCAAGAATAATTATAGAATATCTATGTATTTATACATGTGTGTGTATGTGTGTGTGTGTGTGTGTAATGCAATGTATATAATATGTATGATACATAGTAATATGTGATATACAAAGTTTATCCAAAACTTATCCGCCAACGCTCCTGCGAAGATAGAAGAACGGATTAACCCCTTGCCGTACAGAGACGAATGAGACTCGTGCTTACGGAATCCGGGCCGAACAGGAAAACCACGAGTCAGACTCGCGGTGCCGATTGCGAGGCAAACATAAAGCGATCGCAAGATGTTTCTTCCGTACCGTTTCGCGAGCGAGGCTCCTCACTACGGCCCGCGTGATGCCAAACTAATTCGTACAAGGGCAAGTGGTTAAACTAAGCAGAAGTTATATGTCATTTTGAGAATGTCGCAATAATTAATGAGTAATTGATCAATCAATCTGAGCGAGCGAGCGCGGGAAACCGGAGGGTGGACTTTGTAGGCATGCGCAAAGAATGGCTTGCAATTGTTAAGGAAAATGGCTTATTTTTGAGGATCTCCTAACAATGATGAACAACAGCTGATTTCGAGGGACAACATAGCGAGCGGCGTGTGACATAGGATCGCGCACTAGAATTTCCACACCACCTTGCGGTAGACAGTATGGTATGTTTTGTTTACAGCGGTTTCCCCACTAGGCCTAATCCACTTTCATTTCAACCAAAAACTATTCCAAGTATTCCGTCCTCTCTCTTTCTCTCTCGTATGTAGAATTCGGCCTTTCGAATAACATTGCATGTTGCATGGTACGCGACGTCCGTAACGGTATCGAAGGCCGCGATAATAAGGCATGAAAATTTATAATAAATAAAAATACAGACTCGTGCTGAATTGTACCTTGAATTCTCGCTCAAATGAATCATCACGTTCTTATTTCGATCTTTTCTTTCCGAAAAGTCGTTCTATGCGGGGTTGCAGACGATTCTCTTGATCACGAATATTTTAAGTACATGACGATTTTTTCCGTATTTTAGACATAATTTGGGAGATGCTTTTGCGCACGACAGGCTTTCCGCGAGAGATTTCCACCGTGAGAAAAGGAATACGATGTTCATATAATATAATTAAAATTTAGTTATGAGATCTAGTTTTTAGACGTGGAAATTAATCCTTTCTTCCCGTGCAGCCAGTCCTTAATATGTCGCATATTTGCCGGCGAAAATGAGGAGGAGCATCGTCGAGGAAAATTAACTCTCGTTTCCCGTCGAGGAGCATGTCAGCCGGAACTAGCAAATAGTTATTTAAAAAATCCGCGTAAATTTCAGCGTTTACACACAGCGGAAAGAAATGCGAACCGATTTGAAAATTGTTGACGGAAAAATTGAGATCAAACAATGACGTCTATCATCATGACATCACGGATGGTAGTGTTTGATAAGTTCATGCTATCAACGTTGCCGCTTTCGAGGTGGTGTGTTGATAGCGTTGCGGTAGCGTTAGCGTTTTTGAAGAACTAGAGATTTGAACTAGAGATGTTCACATAGAGGAAAATCGACTTGGTAAAGTCGATTTTCTAAAAAAATCGATTCGGAATCGAACATCCTTACTAAGGACGTTCGAGCAGAAAAGAATCGATTTTCGTGAAAAAGAAAAAAAATCGATTCAAAGCCGGACATTCCTATTCTAAACGCTATCGGTCTGTTTGTTCATGTTGTTTGCACTTTTGGCATTCAATCTCCTCGCTTTTGCTTCTTTCGGCGTCCGGATAATACGAAAGGCAACACGAACAAGCCAAGCAATAACAGTGAATAAATACATGGCGGCCATCTGTATTATAGAAATAGTGCTGTGATGATAATTATGAATCTAAAACATTTTTTTATCTAATCACGATGAGAGGAACTGTGCGTGTCGAAGTAAATCTTTACGATGCTAATAGCGAATAGAAATTAAAAATTATACTCTCTGCGGCTGGGCCTTTCAAATACAAACCGGTAAATTGCATATATTAGGTTATGCACGTGCTATCTTTCTAATCGCGGCATTATTCGATTATTATTCTTTCTATCGTTTACACAATTATGAGAAGCGCACGCGGAAAAGCGTATATAAAGTATTATTTAATTTTCAAATTTATTTGATTTTCACGAGCATCTCTATTACGAGCTCAATCACAAGCATCTCTAAGGAGCGTCTGCTACGCTAAAGGCCGAAGCACAAATTTCTGCACAATGTATAACATATGTGAGGCATAAGAGAAGCAATTAATCAGAGTCCTTAATTTCCATCCTGGAGATAGAAACGGAGAATTTTTGTCGGTTCATTTCATTATGCATCATGCAAAAGTCGCCACTCTTCGACGCTAAAATTGCGCTATTGTTGTTCATGTAGCTCGCATACGCTATTTTGGGCTCCGTGAACGGAGTCGCATTAATAGCGTTAGCGTTGATGGCGCAGTACAGCGAGTTCACTGAACCTTGGTTCCCTATCATATATCGACTTCCGCCCATATATCGACTATCGATGTTGGGAAGAAGTTCTCGCGGACGATGCGCGTTTGTCTTTCGTCTAACGATCGTTAGTTGTCAATTGTTTCTGCCTGCGCTCATACATACGACGTACATTCTGTTATTTTAGAGTGTGTTCCGTGTATTCACTGCGAGTTCTGATGCCGTAACGTCATGTAAATATAACGCTCCCAGCGTTCCGTTTTAATTTCGCGTGCTTTCAAAGTGTTGGAGGATTATAAACGGAACATTATCACGGTACACTTTCTGCTCAGTTTCAGATTTCAGCTGAAGCCTGTTTTATCCTGTCCTTCCGATCATTCTAATTCTAATGTAACTGTTACATCGCACACGCTTTAGTATCTCCGGCATCTATCAAGGTGATTAAACGCAGAAGTAGCCCTCTTGTACTGCGACTACTTCACCTCGCCGGCTGCGGTAATCTCAACAGGAAGCGACATTAAAATCAGACGTCATACGGTTTGTAGCAATACTTTCGCAATGTATATCATATGCAACTCATATCGCAACGGGTCCGCAATATTAACAATACTCGCAGCGAATAACGGAACTCAGTCGCTTACGGTCAGTCACAGGACAGTTGCGATACTTTTCCTCTTCGTTGAGTTTTGCAACGCTTCTCGCGTTCAATAGGGAAATGTATCTCCTGAGAACTAGTAAAAAAATGACTTTTCTTATTGGACACGGGATGCGTTCGAAGTTTATAGAAAAAACAAGTGCTGCAACCGTCCTGTGATTCGGCTCGTACATCATACGAACTCACGCAAGTGTCCGCGACGCTGACAATGAGGTTTGCTCTACAGGAATGTGCAGACGTGCGTGGACATGCAAATATGATTATAGCTGACGAGCAAGCGAAGGAGAATACGTGTGTCGCGGCTCGAATCTATGCGGAACGATTTCCCAGATCTGCGCGGCGACCTGAAACACGCGTGATTTTAGGCGCGGTACGAGACTTAAGCGAGACAAGATCCTTCGTACGAAACAACAGTCGAGCAGAGGACGTGTCAGTGCAGGGTCCTGTTGGAGACGATGAAAAAAGAATTCTTCAATTCGTACTCGAAAACCCAGGCACCAGCGTGCGTCGTTTGGCTTACAAACTCGGCTTGGCGAAACGCGTGGTGTATCGCACTTTGCGTGCAAATGGGCTGCTGTACTCATTTCAAATACGCCAGCTTTTGTCATATGACCAGCAAGAAAAACGCGTCTACTTTTGTCAAGGTAATGTCATTATTGACTTTTTATATCCACGGAACTTTGGAGATGTTGTAACGGTCAGCAAAACACGCACTAGGCTTCCTCGCGCAGTATCGGCGGGATGCATCTTTCCCCGACAAAATCTTATGGAGCGGCGAAACCAACTTCACACCGAACAACATATTGAATAAAGGCCATTTCCCCTATCGCGAAGAAGAGAATCTGCAAATCGACCGTTGTAAGGAGCCTTCGCAGCATCAATGGTCGATCAACGTATGGGCGGGAATGGTCGGGAATCAAGTGGTGAGTGTGAGCCGTGTAAATGAAGCGTTTCGCTCAATCTGAATTTTTTCGCCGAACATTTTCAGATCGGTCCGCATTTCCTACCGCCACTTGTGAATGCTACAATTTACGCGGACTTTTTAAACAACCATTTGCCGGCTCTCCTGTCTGACGTGCCCCTCGATGTGAGACGAGAGTTGATTTTCCATCACGACGGTCCTCCTCAGTGTCATTTTCACCGACAAGTACGCGACATATTAAACATGCGTTATCCGGATAGATGGATAGGCCGTGGTGGTCCAATCACCTGGCCGGCACAGTCGCCGGACCTTAACGTCCTACACTTTTTCTTATGGCGTTATGTGGAAGATCTGATCAAACAACGGTGTAACAGTACAGAGAACGAAGTACGCGATGCTATCACTGCGGCCTTCGATAATATTACGCCCGATATTGCGTGTCGTGCAACGCGCGATATCATACGAAGGGCCGATCTCTGCATACGAGAGAGAGGACGGTACTTTGAATAGTTTTTGGATTAAACAAGAGCGGATTGGATCTACTGGGGAATCCACTATAAACAAAACGCACCATGCTATCTACCACCGCAAGGTGGTGTGGAAATGATAGCGCGCTGTTACTTTCCTGCCGCAACAGACGTTACGAGATGATTATCTTTCGGCACGCAACCCTTTATCACATGCCACGTGCCACTTGCTACTCGCTGCGTTACTCTGTCCCTCGAAATTAATCATCAGTCATCGTTGTTAAGGGATCCTAAGCGTTCGGAGAGCTCGCTGTCGCGCTATCAACAGGTTTGTTTTCTATTCTTTTACCGGCTGCACTACTCAGATAGCGAAATTCAATTTGATCTCATTTCGTATTTACAATAATAATAATGTGAGAACAATATTAAATACGTTCAATTTACTTACAAAATACTCACAATTCAGCAGCTCGTGTTCTAAGGGCTCAGCCGCGGAAAGTTTAATTTTAAATTCCTACTGGCCATTAGCATCGTATAGAAGCACTAAATAGCGCTGATAGCGAGCTTCCAGAACGCATCCTAAAATGCTATTTTTCTTACGAACTCGAAGCCATCTTTCTTAAAGTTTCTTTACACATTCCTACAAAGTCCCTCTGACTGCTTTCCGTGCGTTCATTCGCTCAGATTGATTAATTACTCATTAGCTCTAGTGACACTTGCAAAATGGCACGCGACTTTTCTGCAGTTTAATTCGCTCTACTTTCACACGAGCGTTTGGCGGAAAAGTTTCAGATCCTCTGTATATATGTAACAATATACATGTACATATATATTATATCTATATATATATATATATATATATATAATAAATGTATGATAAAAAATATATAACGTAAGTCACGAATAATTGCAATCGATATGAAACTTGAACACAACAAAAAAGAAACATCTAATTTTTACTTAGAACACCGAGTGATATTGAAACTCACCTGTGCGGTGGTTTCGAAACTGGATTCCTCGAAACGGTAGCAACGTTTGGACGTGGTAAAGAGGTGGAGGCGGCTCGTCTGTGAGGCGAGATCAGATTCTTGTCGTTCGACGTTATCCCGTGCGACTTGTAGGGCAAAGAACTCGGCCGAGTCGTGTGGATGCGCGGTGTGCCCGGCGCGTTCTGATCGACGCGGCTGGTGCGACGCGTCACATCTTTCACTTTCGTATCCACGGGTTTCTTCGGTAACGCCTTCGTTGCAGAGAACGCGGTGGGTTTCTTCAACGAAGGGATGCCCGATACAGGTGACTTGATCGGTCTACCGACGATCGGCACGGTATTGGATTGCTTCACCGGCGACGTGAGCAGTCGAGGTATCTTCGACTTTCCCAGTGCCCCGAATGTGCGGACCGGCGATGGGGGTGTCGTTAAAGTGGCTTGATTCTTACCCCCTTCCTTGCCAATCATCAATTCCCACTTCTCCTGGAGTTTCCGGAATTTCGTCTCGCCGGTGATACCGTCGTCGTCGTTCGCTTTAATATCGGGACTCTGCAGCTTCGGGTGTTGCGGCTGCTTGGCCGCTGCTCTATTCAAAGGAGAATGCTCCAGACTGTCCGTGTAATCTTCGGAATCTTCGGAGGCTAATTTGTCTAACGCGTAAAACGCTTTTGAACTAAGGGCACTGCTGAAACGTTTCTTTAGATTTTGCGGATCGCCTTTGTGCAGAACGCCGCATTTGTCGTCTGCGTTGTAAGCGACGCAGGATCTTGGCCGTATCTTCTTCGGGCTAGGAACCATTCCGTAGGATTCAGTTTTCTCGGCCTCGAGCTCCTTCAGGGATATATCGGCGTTTCTGAAGTTTACGGCCTGCAAGAGCGTGTCGTGTGAGCGCAGGTGATGCCAGATCAGAGTAGAGAATGACGAGTCCATTTAGATTTACTTACATTCATAGCGTGACTATTTATACTCCCGAAGCTATTCTGCAGTTGACGGTACTGATAAAGAAGGTCCAGGTGAAATGGACAGAATGCGAGCGGGTTTAAAATATATAACAAAGAATCGACGGTTTCCCGAGCACTGGAATTAGCCAAGGCTCCGACGAACAAGCTGGTGTTACTGTAATGTTTCCGTAAGATCGACTCGCGTGTGCACAAGTACGCGAACCACGCATCCAAAGCTCTCAGACTGAAAAAAAAGAGATGATATTCATGATGATCGATTATCAATGCCCGACTTCACCGTCATAGTTTTAATCTAATCGATGATTAACTCAACGGAATTGATCAATCGTATTGGCCAAAATTAGCTGAATTGATCGATCGGTCAATTCCGCTAATTGCCAATTAGATTTAAACGATGATGGTGGAACCGAACATAAGTGAATGAAGATGACGTGATAAGTAAAGTTAGAGAATTTAAGGGAGCTCTTTCGAGCAAAAAACACAGCCGACACAGAGTCGTTATAAATGCTTTCCTGCAACGAGACTACACGATAGAAGTCGATACAGCTGCAGAGCAAAGTCGAACACTTGTGCATCATGGCCGCTGAATTTGAGTAATTTTGTATATCATTTTTATATTCGTAGCATTACAAATATATTGAAGAGTTGTTTTCTTCTGTTGAGGTAGATTTGAATCGCTTCAGGAAAGATTAATGACATATTAAATTCTGTAACTGATAGAGGCTTATGACGATATTAATTGCTCCTGATGCGGTCAAAACCTGCTTCATTTGGAAACATTGTATGTAATGTTTGCTAACATCTAGTATATATTATCACCAATTAGCATCCATGCACTGTATTCAATTGTGTGACACAGTGCCTGTGTTTCTTTGCTGGAAAGTACTCTAAGATACTAAGATCATTAACGCCAACTCATATATTAGGGTCATTAACGCCGACTCACTTTAGCAAACCGAATACAAATGCGTGGAACTTCAGCATTCCTTCTGTAATAACGTCTTCGCCGTTGATCCTCTGCACTAACTCATTCAACGTTTTCGTCAGAGGCCCTTGTTGAGAACTAGCTTCGACGACCTGCCACACGCTATTAGTAATTGGTCCAAAGGTGGAATTCAAATGGGGTTTCAAACCGTCCGACATTATAGCGTACAAAGCCGGGCACAAGTTACTGAGGCAGATCTGTGCACACTCGTTCCTCTCGTTGTAATTATGACGAGTATGATCGGTGTCGGCGTTCCAATACTTCAACAAGAGATCGACTGCTTTGTTTACAGACGACACCATTTCTGTAGGAAAAACAGATGTTCATTTCAGAAAATCTGACGATATCCTCAATTGATAGTCAAATTGAACCAAATGCGCTTACTTTTCTTCTCCTCTAGCTCCATTAATCTATCCTCAACTACCTGATCTTGGTTTTGTTCATTTACAGCGACATTCAGATTATTTGGCTGAAATGGATACGGGAATTGTTCGAGCGATGAGAACACAGCAAGGATTACGCAAACTGCTCGTTTGCTGTTTGGTATTTTACCTTAGGGTCTAGATGCTTTTTCCTTTGGTGTACAGCGAAACTAACGGTCTTCCTCTGCAAATCACCCGTATCGACGTTCCTGACGAGCGGTTCCTTGTTCATCCTTAGTGCTAGAAACTTCCTTACGTACGATCTTAGTTTCACGTCGGCGTTCTCGGTGTCTCCGTCGCTGCTTTGCGACGAGAGACCACTGCGTTTCAGGTAATCTTCCAGTTGCTTGACATCGTCGTCGCTGTGTTGAGAAGTTCTCGACTCCACGTTCGTATTAGCTACTTCATTTAATCTCTCTGAAATCATTAACGCCAAGCTAAAGTGGGACACGCTAATAACGTCTCTCTCGACGTTATAAGAGTCAACGGTAAGAATTTGAACAACTTCCTGCTGATCTATCTATCCTTACCTATATGATACCTCTCTTCCTCCGTTTCGTCGACATCTTTTTCCGAATCGATCGTTCTTCCGCGACACAACAGCTGCAAGTCGTTGTTCATGTAATATGGCTCTTGCAGGGACATCCTCTTATTTACCTCCACAGGTTGCTCCTCTGTCTCGCCCACGTCTCCCATCTCGAACATACTGTATCGTTTGCTCGCGAGAACCTTGTTCTTTCGCAAAATGCTTCTCGGCAATGGCGGTCGCGGCGGAACACGGCCGTTGTTGAAATCTGGCTCGCCGTCGCCCTGCGGCAACGATACGGATCGCTTTGGCAGAGACGGGCAAGCTTGCCTCGCGTGATTGAGCCTGTGCATCTTCTTGTCGTTATTCACCAGGCTGGCCTCTGAACTAATACTATCGTAACGATACAGGTACAACGGATTGACCGCATTGTTCGGCAACGGTTGTTGCTGCTGCTGCTGCTGATTCGTCGAGGAGTCCGTCAAGATCGTCGACGAGCCTCTGTACCCGGAAGATGGCTGCGTCGCGGTGCTGCTCGTCGACGAGGTGTTATTCGGCACGATCTCGCTGATAGGTCGAACTTTGTGACGCATCGGGGGAGATAAACAGAACAGAGGTCTCCTGACTTCTTCATTCATATTGATATGCCTTGAGACTTCCGGCACGTCGTGCAAGATCTTCTTGTACTCGTTCGGTAACAGGAACGTTAACGATTCCCAGTCTTTTATGTGCGCGAATCCACGTTGTCGCAGAGCGTCTATGTCGTTGCACGAGAACGGTCTACCCGTGCGGGCAGTGCGCTTCCATTCCGTCTTACTCTTGTCGAATGTGTGCGGTTTCAACGCCACATTGTCGACCTTGGTGTCCTTGATGTTGAGGAACGACAGGTCGGGCAATGTATAATTGGGATACACCACATAAATGGGTTTCTTGTTGACTATCGTCTCTTGCAAGAGAGGCCCGGGCTCTTGCGTGGGCGGGATGAAAATCAAGGAGGTCTGAGCCGAGTTGTCCTCCATCTCCGCGTTCGCTTGTATCCCTGTCGTTCGACAGATCGGGTGTTTCTTCTCTGTCAAGCCGACCCAACCGTTTTTTTGCTGTTCGAACGGGCTATTGATTATGTCGAAACTCATTTGGCCGCTTGTGCAGCCCGACTTGGATATGCTCTCAGATAGCTCTTCCACTGACGCTGATGACGCCATCTCTATCTTATCGACTTTGGTGGGTGACGCACATTTTAAAAAATTCATTTCCCTCGGATTCTCCGTATCACGATTAGCTATATCGCGCCTGATCCAATTGATGGAGAAATCGTCTTCCGACACATGGCGATCTCCGTTGTTGCCTTGGTTCTGCCGTTGTATTTGTGTGTTAGTGTTGGTCGCGCTGTCGCTGCCACTGTTGCTGGTGGGCCAACCATTGTCGCTAATGGAATCCGACTGGTCCAAAGTGAGACTCATCCCCTCCACGCTCATGCTTTTCTGCTTCATGAACAATCTCACGAGACTTAGATTTTGTAGCTTTTTGGTGCAAGCGTGTTCCCCGTTGTCCGAGCTCTCTGCGTTCGTTGAACGACTCATCGCAGATCCGGAGCTCTGCAGCCGTTGTATCGGGTTGCTCGATTCGGCGGAATCAACCTGCATGTCGGCGAGGAAAAATTTGCGTTGCATAATTACATAAAATACGATCGTTTAGGTCGATTCATTTGTATCCACACTTACGCTAAAATTAAGAGGTATATTAGTATGCTGGAATTCTCGAACGCGAGAAAGGTCCGGTAAGCTTTGGCTTCGTTTACTCATCCCACCAAGCGTCAAGTTAGCAGCACTTTGCAAGATATCCGGCATCGTGTTGTTGTTACCGGAAGGATGACGTGTTATTACCTTGTTCATGGAGGAGTGTTTCAAATTGCTCCATGTTGTGTATATTTTCGAGTCGGAGCATGCCATCGATAAATCCAGCATAGTTTTCCCATTTTTCTGCTTACCATAGGATAAATCCGGTGATTCGTATGTTTTGTGTTTATCTACAAGCAGTTGTTGAGTTTATTAATAATAACTACGTTAAATTATACCTGGAGCGAAGACAGGAGCGAATTAATAGAAAATATTTCAAAGTGTAAGTCTTATTATACACATGGTGTTTAATTGGGGGAAATATTCAAAATGAATTTATATTAATACATATGCATCACCTTGATTTTCGAAATCTTGAGAGCCATCCGAATACATGGTGATGCTGCCTTCAAATGCGATGGTATAGTTGTTCTTATTGTTCGTTTGACAGGTAAGCAACATATCTTCACAGTCCAGTGAGTCCACACTATAGCTACCACCAGGTGGTAATACTGGCGTCTCTTTTAACGGGGAAAACAGCAATGACGACTTGCATATGGATATCGTATCAGCGGTGGAACATGCAGAATCTTCCCCCTTAAAAGATGCTCTGATTAATACATAAATTATCTATGAAACTCTGGATATCCTCTTACAATATGTTAATACAGGTTATTGGTAAACATTTAAACTTGCATTGAATATGCTTTGTTAGATGTGGTGATCAGGTTCCTCTAGAAGGTAATTATTATCAGGGGTTATTAAGATATCATTGGACTCCTATTCATGAAGTCTAATGTTATCATATGTGCGTGTCCATGCAAGATTCAAGTAGTCTGTATGTTACATGGTTAGTATAATATGTATCGGTTCGATGTTAATGTGTAGGGACACTGTTTACAGCAGTTGGACTTCTGCTTCTGTTAGCCATTATCATACCTGGCTACTGGTATGAGGGCTGATGGAGGAACCGATGTCAAGCTTTTCCATGACAGATCCAGATATACTGGCGTACTGTTCCCTTTGATAGTTAAACTGTGGTGATAATGGAAGACGTACGAGACTTAGAAGAGTTATTGTACAGAGATTTGAAAATTAAACAAGTAGTTTCAAACAAAACTGCACTCCTATTTTAATATAAAGGTCAACACACACACATACTGCTGGAAGTTTGCAATGTGCGAATGAAATGCATTTAATGTCAGTTGATACTTTGCTTAGATGATTTTATAATGATAATGGATAACATTCTTGCTGTATCAAACTTTTACCTCAGAATGTTGGACCGGTTCTGTACACATGACAGGTAAAGCTGTAAGCAAGGTATGAATATCAGCGGTACGAAAGCTCTCCATATCAATTTCTGCCAGGTTAGCATCCAAATTACGGGCAAGATCATCGTAATAACCCAGATCCTTTGGAGAATAAGAGGCAGAAAGCGACGACAGGACACTGGGATGAATATGTAGCCCTCCATCCCTGTATCTAGAAAGATTACAATGAACCATAAGATATAATATCACTAGTCGCTGAGACCCATATTAAATTACTTACCCATAATCAATGAACCACTGATATTCGACATTATCTTGAACAAATTCTGAGCCAATCAGATCCTGCTGAATGGAATCTGTCGCTGGATTAGAGTTACAGTCAGACCCTGGCGTTTGCGGATCTTCCATTACTGCTGCACCTTCTCCTGCAACTAAAGAGGAAATTTGGTCAATTGCATTATAAAGTAAGAATAAAAATATATAAAATACATAACCACATAAACCTACATAAACGTAAAAATGAATGTAAAAATGAATATCACAATGAGCTCAGATCACAAGCGATTACATGTAACATATGCATAATGCAGTTTCACTTCTTACACGTAAACACATTTTATTCAGGTAGCAATCTTACAATCGAAAGAATATATCGTAATAAAAATGAGGAAGAAATATCTAGCGAAATCCAATGAATGTTTCGAGAGAGGAACGCGACTTACACGGAGGTTGACTTATGTTGTAGCTTACATTAGCAACGCAACAATATAATGAGAGTCTGTCAAGGAAATCGCGTCGGAGTAGAACTCGACAGCTCAACGCCTCGCGTCATAAATGTCGCGGAAAAATACAGCTCGCGCATCACAATTTCGTAACACTACTGCTAGTCGTTCTCGTGAGTAGCTCCTAGGTTTCCCTCCCTACCTCTCTCTCTCTCTCTCTCTTTCATTTACTCGCTTACTCCCACTCTCACTCTTTCTCTGTCAACCTCGAATAACCTCGAACGAGATCTCATTGCATTTACAATTATGTTTATGATTGAATTTCACATTATACGACAGATCTGTTAATTTACTTTCTTATTCGGCCTCTATGTTAACACGAGATACTTGTGTATGATGCAAACGTTAAAGCGAGAGAGAATGATAGTGAGAAGATACCAGAAGACACGAGGTGTAGTAAGTGTAATCAAAGCAGACGGAAGACAGTCGTTATTCGTCGATTCCTCGATTCGTCGATCCATCGATATGAACGTGCGTTAGTAAGTTCGATAAGTCCGCTAAGTTCAGTTGGAACACGGATTTTCCGTTGGCGAAAGTCTTGTATAAACGCGCGTCAATCCGCTCGAATCTCGCACGTCGAGCTGGAAAATATACTACAAATCGTAATATCGTCGTAACCGCGAGTTCACTGAACAAAACGGAAGTCACGATTCACTTCGCCCGCGCAATCCTGGTAAGTATGAATTGTTGGTTGGAAAGCTCGAAAAGTCGAGGTTGGCCATGATTTTAGGCTTGTACTTTTCATCTGAACCAATAATGCATCGGAACTTCGTTCCTTTTCGTTTCAATGTTAGGTCGTAAAATTGTTTCGTTCTAACGACCAAACATTCCAACGAACGTAATGTATTAATAATGCGTTTGACGTTATTAATGCGTCATTAATACGCCATGTCATTATATCATTTGACGCCATTAATTACCCATATAGCATAGATATCCAAGGGACGTCCTAAAGTCGTCCAGAGGACGTCCCTAGATCCTAAAGATGTCTACAAAATGTCTATCGGATAAAATAATATAAATGATATAAAATGATAAATCTTCCTATTTTATTTTATTTATCACCTTTATTTTATGTATATATATATATATATATATTTTTTTTTTTTTTTTTTTAAAGAATCTGGAACTACGTTATTTGATACTGCGACTGGCAATCGCGGGAAGTTGATACGTAAAAAAAATGCTCTGCCTACGTTTACGTGCAATCAGATACGAAAATTCCGTTCGGATCGCGCGGAATGCGTTCGCTTCATTGTAAAAAAATCAACACGAGCGGCGTGGCGCGGGTGTGTCCTTACATTTTCGCAAAGTGCATTTATCACCGCAGGATTGCCGACGGTGTTTGCGTTTGGATGAGGGACTTCTGTGCCGCTTGCACCGCCTACACCGCCTGTTGCAAGCGAGAGGCGGTGGTCGTGCCGACACCGACATCGTCGCCAGCGGCGGACTCGTCCGGCCCGCGGAGAACTCTGCTATCTTCATGATGATGCACAACAGCAGCACTATCATCATTCGAGCCGAGGTACGTCAGATTCGCACTCGCACGTACTCCCGACGTTCGCTATATCATAATAGCCTCCTCTGTACGACGCACGTATCGCTAATTGTCCGGGCGGAATAATGCGCGATACCGCCGATATAGTCCGTGATACGTGCAGATACCTCGTTCGTTATCACAATTTCAAAGTCGATGCACCATGCAAACCTTGAACTCGCGAAGAACGCGACTAGTCGCTCTTCTAATGCATCATGACGCGAGTTTGCGCCGTTTTACGTCAACACGTGTCTTTCTTACGCGGTTTTCGACCATTCGCGGTTTTCACCGCGATAAAACTTTTCGCGTAAAATTCAATATGGAGAACATACGCGATCTGACTGAATAGTCACGTCCATCGAGAGAGACGATCCAGAGTCGTCGGCATTTGGACACTGCGAGCGAAGAATACGTGCCATGATGCAATTTAGAATATAATCTCCGCAGTAAAAAACATTTTGTATTTCTTAAAACCGGTCCTTGTTGAAATTTTTGTGCAAAATTTTTATGTACCCATGTGTTAATTTAACATTTTGCGTTTATGTTATTTCAACATTTTGTGTTGTGTTGATATTTAACAATAATGTATAAGTGTTAAAGTAATACATTTTACACTTCAGTGTTGTATTAATTTTGTGCTAATTTTTGAGATAATATTTGTGTTACTTTTCAGTATATTCACTTTGTGATAAATTAACATAAAAATTTGAGTGGACCTTTTCGGAAATGTGAAATGCGTTAAATTTAACACAACATTTTTTACTGTGTAGAGATATGATTGCAAAAATATTAGGGTTTATAGATACAGCAGTTCGCGTAGCTAAATAGGTCTGAGACATTTGATACGAATATTGCAAGCTTTAGCAATCTTCAAATCTAGCTAATCGATTGCAAAATTGAACGATACCGTGTAGATATGGTTCGAGTTTGAACGGATATTCCAGTAGGAGGCCTACTTTACACGACTAATCGATTCGTAGTAAATGCAAACGACCTCGTGATGAGCGCGCACTAAAAGCGTATTTACTCCGGCAATTGGTGGTACACGTATGCTACCAGCAATGTGGACGTTAAGACATTGAACAACGCGAATTTTTAGAAAAAATATTACTAGAGACTAGGCACTTTAAACAAGAGACTATAACGTTTTAGACGTTCCATATACGTTCTCTGCGGTAATTCGAGGAATGAAGGCTCCAGAAGAGCAAAGCAATTCTCGAGCAGCTCTCGTACCGACTAAACGAGGCCGTCGCGCGTCCACAGTAAAACAACATTTTGCACTTATGTTAAAATCGACCCTCGTTAAAATCCGTGTGTTAAATTTTTGACATATCGTCTTAACGTATTGTTTATGTTATCTCAATATTTCGTTAAATTAATATTCAAGTGTGTTATCACTTGCAAATGTTAGAACAACACACTTTATGCCTCAGTGTCGCTTAACATATTATGAATTTTTTTAATTTTATGTTAATTTCCGACATAATATTTGTGTTACTTTTCAACATACCCGCCTTGTGTCAAGTTAAAACAAACATTCGGTACGGACCGTTCGGGACAAGTGTGAAGTACGTTAGATTCAACGAAAGATTTTTTACTCCGTAAGATCTCACAATGATGCACACGCCCGTTCGTTGCAAAACGTCACCCGTGGGCGCTCACTCACGCACTGGGCACGTACGCGCGCACTCGCGCACGGAGTTACTCACAGTTACACGAAGCACCCTATTTCCGCTGTCACTTATCTGGTCGATCGTTCATCGACGCGACTCATCGGGCGATCGCTCGATTCGACTCGTCGAACGCAACCTTTTTTTCGCACGACCATGCGACGTCACAATTGATATCGACGCGATAACGCAGCGACTCAAAAGAGACCGCTTTTCACCTGTCAAACCGCGCCGCCTGGCGTCTCGATCAGCCCGCCGATTTTCCCGATCGATATTTCCCCCCGAGAATCGCGCGCGTTTCGGAGAATGATTTTTCCACTGTGCGGAGAGGCTGACTCAGACTGCTCTCTTACGCGTCTCTCGCTCTGGCGGGAGGGCGTTTGCACACGGCACCACACGACGCGGACTCTAATCTCTATTAATAAATGCTCGTACCGCCTCGTATACGAGAGACGGACAGAGACGGTGAGAGAGGGTGGGAGGACCGGGATATACGGAGAGAACTGGGCCCTGCCGCACGAGGGTTCGCCGGCTCGAAGCGTTGTTAGCGCGACGTTCTGTGGATCCGAGTCCTCTCGAGTTCACGCTCGGCTCGACGTGCTTCGAGACGACGTTCCGTGACGAACGCAGCTGCACCGAATCAAAATGCCGATCGATACCGCAGACACCCGTGCCTCGCCGAGAGTGCGTGTGTGTCGATGGAGAGGATCGAAAATTCAAAACTGGGCCGGCCGAATATCACGGCGTTTCACAGCGTCGGCGATCGGAAGCGACGGACGGTAGTTCCGGTGAGAGAGAGAGAGAGAGATCAATTTCTCGCGTTGCAGGCGCGAAGGAGGAATTTATCTGCATCGCCGATCGCCTCGTGTTCGCAGTTTCGTCGCTCGGCGAATAAGTGTGGGAGATTATTCTCGCGTGTTTATGAGGAAAGTATCGGCTCGGTTCTCGCGAGGCTCGGTGAAACTATATTCGATTGCCGCGATGTAAAATATCCTTCATTTCGAGTCTTGCTTTTCGCACGCAATGTCGCGTTTAACTAGTGCGCTTGGTCGCGACGCGACGAAGTCACGCGATTCGAATCTTTATTCGATCCTGGCAGGAGGAGCGAAGAATCGAAATTCGGGCACTATATTCGATCCCGACAATGTGTGCTCGCGTTTCTCGAAGGTGCCATTGGTGACAGTTGAGAAAATCTCCTTGTGTGTGATAGTTTTGAAGGCTGGAAAAAGTCCGGGTTTTCTCCATTTTTCTGCGAATGTTATTTCCAAAGTAAAATATAAATTAAGATAGACGAGGCATAAATTCACACGGAGGAAATATTAAAAATTATCATCAAATTTTATAACGTTGCACCATAATCGGAATTATAACTGAAATTATGATGTGTTGTAATTCTTGGTGATGTACTTCATTGTACATATCACTAAAGATCATAACATGCATAATAATTTCAGTCATAATTCCGGTACAGATTAACATTACAAAATTTTAGAATAATTTTTACCACATTTTCTCCGTGTGGATCGTCGTAGATCCTTTCGGCAAATTCGAAGTCGTGCTTCCCAGATAAAAAAGCGCAACGCGAAAAAATTTGACGAGATCTAAATTGATGATCTAAAAATCTATTATATTATACTCTAAGTATCCGTATCTCTACACGAATTGTGTTGTACATATGTTCGGAAAGACAAAATATTTCCATGCTGTAAATTTTCTGTGGAGAGAACCATCATTGAGCGCGCAACGCCCATTGTGAAATCACAAGTCACAATCGAAATTTTGCATACACCTGGTGCTTCTTTCTCGTACAGTTGTACGTAAAGGTCTACATTGGAAGGAAAGAATGCTGCATTCAAATAAATATTTGCTAAAAAGCGTCGAAATCATTATTTTACTCGGATTCAATAAATATCACTCTTGAATGTAGCACACTGAAAGAAGAAAATGTTACGCATTCACGTAATATTTATTTAATCCAAATAAAATAATTACTCCAATACTCCAAAGCAAAAATATTGATTTGAATGTAGCACTTTTTTTCTTTCAGCGTGCCTATATCTGTTAATATCTATTGATAGACATAAACTTCTCACTTACCAATCCGATCTCCGTTGCTACGAGCGACGTCCGTTGACGATACCTGAAAATATCATTCGGGCGTTTATCACACGCTCGTTTCGAGGTACACTTGAAGATTCTCGCAGCATTAAATTCCGTTCGCGTTTACAATATGTACGACGGAGAAGCGGGAGATTTTGAATTATTAAGCGAACGGAGGAGATCGATGAAGTTAAATTGTCAGTGCGAAATATAGAGCGAACCTCTTTGTCCGACTTGATAAGGTCCAGGCCGTGGTGTTTTAGGAGCGACGGTTGTTTTTCAAACGACTCGAGTCAGCGGTAATCGGGGTGCAAAGTACCGTTTATGTCACAAGCTTCCATAACTCCATCCGGTGCGTTAGCTGCGTGAATGATGTTAGTCGTGATGCTGAAAATAGAGAGAATAACAAAATGTCGCGATTNATATATATATATATATATATATGAAGAGGTCAAAGGGGTACAATTGGTATTTCGATGCCTGTTCGCGTGCGACCTAATCGCGTAGGAGTTTTAATAATATTGCGGTCTTATGTTGCGCATCGTGACGGCATCGTTTTTATCGACACGATATCAAAAGCGGATGTTAATTGAAAACTGATGTTACGTTGATGCGGGGGTTAACGGCGAGACGGTTTCAGTACAAAGCGAAAACCTCTGCAACGTCGTCTTTGTAACATCCTCCGTGACTAATGAATTGTCATTGACACTAATTACAGAGAACGGCGTAATAATGGCTCGAGCGTCGTCTTCTGAGAGACTCGACGAAATTGATTTCAACTTGACGTCTTTGTGATATTTCGAGTTTCACTTGCTTCTCGGGAAGGTTGATCGCCGTTGCATCGAATCCTTCAACTTCGGCCGGTCGATCGTTCTCGCCTGGAAGCGGCGAGACGCGATTTTATCTCTATGCGCTTATAAATCGAAACATGCCGCAGGGCCGGTATTTTTAGACATCGCGCGATCGCGCCTCCACCGCATGTCTGCAGATCGCGATCGTTCGATCACGCTCATTCGCGACCAATTGTCTGCGAGTATAACGACAGTCGACAGCGGTCGTCTGACCAAGATAAAGAAATCTTGCGAATAATGGACAGATACGAAGTTAGATTCGCTTCGTGGAACGAAATTTACGTCGTGAGATCGAAGTTGTCCGACGATCGTTGATTCGTCCGAATTGACCCACTTCCTAAAGAACATGCCAGATAAATTTTAAACGCGAGTTAAAATAAGGCTGAAATCTCTTCCAAAATAAGAATTGACATTTCCTCCGAATTGACCTATTTTACGTATGGACGCGCAGCTTTAGGGACGAGTCGGGGGAGGTTTCCGATGAAATGTACGAAAAGGTTATTTCCTTACGTTTGAATTCAAAATTTAGGAATGCGTAACGTGATTTTTCAGCGATTCGAGGAGAAATTCAAGGAAATTTCAGCACACACCCGGGAATATAGGTAGAACGAGTGAGCGGAGCGAAAAGATTCGCGAGTAAAATCGCGACGAATGTTACACGCGAATTCGGAGCCGCCGAGGAGCGGACGTTGTTGAATTTAAAACGCCAACGGAGGAAAATCGATTTTATCACTTCGGTATACCGAGCGAAACGAATTTCCAATCAGACCCGTCGAGGCAAGAAAAGAAATCGTCGCGAATATTCTCACAACATATGTCACAACGCGCGAGATGTACTGCGATGCATTTCCTCGTTGCCGTCGCAATTCCTCGAAAGTACAACGAACCACTCGAACGACTCCGTCCGCTACCGGATTAAAGGGTATCTCCTCATCGATTTTCCAGGACTTTCGAGGTCAATGACGTATCACGCTCGCGCATCTCGATTACTCGCGACGGGAAATGGATTATTTCGCAAAAACGCTCGTCTCGACGGGAATCGCGCGGAAACGCAGAAGACGCCCACGGAGCTCGCGTCGCCCCGCGGCGAAAACCAGTCGATATTAGAGACGACTAACATACTCACATTCATGATACGAAGGGGCAGCTGATGGCCGTGCTGTTACGTATGACACTCGCACACCCGAGCCGTATGTTAGGGCATCGCGCGACACTTCGTCGGTTTTTCGCTGCACGTCACTGCGCGATGGTAAGGGCGCGTTATTGGCCGGTTATCGGATCTCACGACGGAATACACTTTCGGAAATGTATATTCTGAGTCACTCTGGCCGAGCAGAACCCCTCCCTGATCGCGACAACCCTCGTGCAACTGCGAGCGCGCATGCCCTTCGAACGGACCACCGCACCACCGGCCGTTCGCTAAAAGCGAGAAGGGGATGATTCCTCTTCTTACCCCCGCGAGACCTCTTCGTGTGCCTACGAGTTCGAAGACAATGGTCGATTGAGAATTAAGCTTAGAACACGCTACCCCGAGGAGGTATCGCTTCAACAGTGAGGTGCTGAGATAACGGGCAGTTTCTCAACAATTCGGCAACTTTGCGAGCCTCTCAGGAATACATTGTCTAGTAAAATATTTCGCGACAACGATGAATATACAGTTGCAACGTAGCAACAGTTTGTCTGTGATTTATTTAACGCAACTGTGAGAGAAAGAGGGGAAACACTGTTGTTTTCGCAATAGAATATTTATTTATTTAACAAATATAGTGTGCTTTACATTGCTACGATTGTCGCTGTTCTATTGTATACTGTGCAGAATTTGAAGTTGTTCCAGATGTAATTATATGTGATTATTTTTTTGGCACTATCGTATAATCATCAAATCCTTCTCCATTATTTTTTTATTGTCCTGCTCCAATAGGTACATACAAGACATTTTTTATAAAAAATAGAAACTTTTTTATAGTGATACATGTAAACGACTCACAAGCACAATATCCGGAGACAATACTAAATGTTTGTAGAAAAATAGTCTACTTACACTAAGCACGCTGGGAAATATTCAGCGAATTTTTATTACTACGTATTAAGTTGGTGCAAAAGACTACATATAAAATATAAATAAAAGTATATCGAAGAAGAATAGACAACGTTCAAGTCAACGTTTATTGTTATTGAAAATAGTCATTATTAAAGCTTCACAGTATACTTTTTTTATGTAGGAAGTAATTTTACAATTCTATTCCTACAAATGTAGCCTTTCAATTAGTAGCTTTGTAACAGAATTTAATTATATACAGAAAAATGATAACTTGTTGCACCAACCTAATATAAGCTTCATCTATTAATTCATTCTC